AGAAGTTCTCCCTTGCACAGAAATCCAGGTTCAGAGAAATTACAACAGTCCAGTTTGGCATGCGATAAGGCACTTGATGTTCCAACGGCTGAAGGGGTCAGCCATAAATTCATTGTTAAAATTCCCACCAAAGGTCGCAGTCCTGCACAAAGTTCCAGTGGGGAAACTATGGACGACACTTCAATCATGAATAGCAGAGATTCTTCTCCTGTGCCTTCAGAGAGGCATGACCAGTTTGATCATAATTTGAAGGAAAAAATTAATTCATATCGAGCTAATATTGCATCAGATGTTAAGACCGAGTCGTGGCAAAGCAATGATTTCAAAGAGGCGCTGACTGGGTCAGATGAGGGTGATGGGTCGCCTGCCACTGTTCCTGATGAAGAGCATGGTTGTATGGGTGATGATGCTAGTAAATTAAGTGAAATCTCAAAAGCTACACCCTCTTCAAATGTGTATGAACATAAATTTGGGAAGCTGCATGATGCATCTTTCAGCTCCATGAATGCTTTGATTGAAAGTTGTGCAAAATACTCTGATGGGAATGCATCTATGTCAGTTGGTGATGATGTTGGTATGAATCTGCTTGCTAGTGTAGCTGCCGGGGAGATGTCCAAGTCTGATATGGTTTCACCAACAGATTCTCCACGGAGAAACATGCCTATCGAGCACCCGTGTGCACCAAGTGGTTCGAGAGCTAAATCATCACCACGTGATGTTCCTGCTCAAAGCCAAGGTAAGCCTGTTGATGATGAAGATGAGAAGCAGGGTATTACTGATGGTACTTCACTGTCCAAGAACATGGGGGCTAAAACAGTTTTGTTTTCACAAGAAAAACACACAGGGGAGCTGAACAGACCTTCCAATTCTTCCCATGTGGATGGGAAGAAAATTGCTGAACCATGCCTAGAAAGCAATGTGAAATCAGAGGAAATACTATTAGCTGCTGTGTCGTCTGCTAGCATGGCAGTGAAAACATCAGATTGTAGGGGCAAGGAGCTGTGGGAGAAAGAGGGTGGTGGCAGATCAAATTTAGATGGCATGTCTGATGAAAAAGAAAAGTTGCATGGTTCTGTCTTAAATGAGATCAACAATACAGGAGTGCAAGATGGGATTGATGCAATTGATGGATCATCAACAAACCATCCTGTAGAGACTGATGGTGAGAACAAGAAAAATATGAATAAAGAGCTGGATGTTTCTAATGGGGATGAGCCAAAACCACCTGCTATGTTGCAGTCTGATTTTGCAAAAGGAACCAATGATGAAGTGCTCGAACCTTCTAGTTCTGGCAAGGATGTGGTTTCTGAAAACATGCATGATGTGAAGGCTGGTGAAACAGATGGTAGGAGTCATTCTACTGAGAAAAATAAAATTGAACATGAATGTAATACAGCCTCAGCCACAACTGATTATGAAGTTGAGTGCAAGGTGGAGAGCTTGGGAGGCATTCAGGTCAATGGGCAATGTAGTGCCAGACCAACTGCTCACAAGGCAGCACCTACACTTGTTCAGGCACCAGAACTAGTAGTGTCAACAAGGTCAAATTTGGCTGGCACTGGAGCTGATGAAATTGAGGAATGTATGTCTGCCCCTGCTGCTGCTTCTTCTTTATCTGCTACAGGGGGGTCGGATCTGGAAGCAAAAGTTGAATTTGATCTGAATGAAGGCTTTATTTCTGATGATGGGAAATATGGGGAGTCGAGTGACTTGAGAGCACCTGGATGCTCTTCTGCGATTCAGCTAATTAGCCCTTTTCCCTTACCTGTTTCTTCTGTATCTAGTGGGCTTCCTGCTTCCATTACAGTAGCCGCCGCTGCAAAAGGGTCCTTTATTCCACCAGAGGATCTACTGAAGAGTAGACGGGAGCTTGGTTGGAAGGGATCAGCAGCCACAAGTGCATTTCGGCCAGCTGAACCTAGAAAAGCTTTGGAGATTCCATTAGGTACAGCTAATATCTCACTGCCTGATGCAATGGTCTCCAAGCCTGGTCGCCCCCTGTTAGATATTGACTTGAATGTTCCTGATGAAAGAATCCTTGAGGATTTGGCTTCACGAAGTTCTGCTCAGGAAACAGTTTCAGTTTCTGACCTTGCAAAGAATAATGATTGTGCACGTGATTCACTGTTGGGTTCGATACCTGTTCGAAGCTCGGGGGGACTAGATTTTGATTTGAATAGAGCAGATGAAGCTAGTGATATTGGTAATCACTTAACAAGCATTGGCCGGAGGCTGGATGCCCCACTTCATCCCGCCAAATCATCTGGTGGTTTTCTAAATGGAAAGGTTGGTGGCTGCAGAGACTTTGATTTGAATGATGGCCCTCTTGTTGATGAGGTGAGTGCTGAACCATCACAACTTGGCCAGCATACCCAAAACATTGTGCCATCTCAACCACTCATTTCTAACCTGCGGATGAACAGTACAGAAATTGGAAACTTCCCCTCCTGGTTTCCTCAAGGGAATCCTTATCCCGCTGTCACAATCCAATCTATCTTGCATGATAGAGGAGAACAGCCTTTCCCGGTAGTTGCAACTGGTGGGCCTCAGAGGATGTTGGCTTCATCTACTGGCAGCAACCCATTTAATACTGATGTCTACAGGGGAGCAGTGTTGTCGTCTTCTCCGGCAGTGCCATTTCCATCTCCTACTTTCCAGTATCCTGTCTTTCCTTTTGGGTCCAACTTGCCTCTAACCTCAGCAACATTTTCTGGTGGTTCAGCATCGTATGTAGATTCACCATCTGGCGGGAGACTTTGCTTTCCGACAGTACCCTCTCAAGTATTAGGTGCAGTTTCGTCTCATTATCCAAGGCCTTCTTATGCTGTTAACTTCCCAGACAGTAACAATAACAATAACGGTGCTGTGGAGAGCAGTAGGAAATGGGGACGACAGGTTCTAGATCTCAATGCTGGACCTTTAGGCCCAGACATTGAAAGTAGAGATGAGACCTCAGCTCTTGCATCGAGGCAGTTATCTGTTGCCAGTTCACAGGTCCTTACAGAGGAGCAATCGAGGATGTATCAAGTGAAGCGGAAGGAGCCAGAGGGTAGATGGGAAGGTTATAAGCAATCCTCATGGCAGTAGATGCTAGTGATGAATAATGACAACCCAGTGATCCACCTGTAAGTTTTTGTCATGTTCTGTGTTTCACCTTGACCTTAATTTGATGAATTATCTATAAGGTAGCTGTGGTATTGCCTTTTCTTTTCTGATCAAGGAGAGGGGGAAACCCTCTTTAACTTGCTTTCTGTTGGGCATGAATTGCAGTTAAGTTCCTGCTCACAGGTCAAGTGATTTTGTTTCTGCTTTCGTTGTGTTTTCAATTACAGTTCTCCTGGATGGATGTTGGCTAACTACAATAGATCGTCTAACTTGTGATCTCAAGGATGGGTGGTAAGTGAGTTATTTGATGTTCAGTCTCCGACCCCCACCCTGTCACTTTACCCATTGCGCCTTACAAGAAATCTGTCCGGGGTTGTTGAGCTGTTATTTCCTTGAATTTGAACTGGGTGGCTGCAGTTCACTTTCCTCTTTGTAGATATTTTAACCAATGGAAAGCGTGCATTCTGTGACTGTGTTGCCCAGACATTCGAAATTGGTGTCCATGCTGTTGTCCAGTGCATCGACAATTTATACTGCTGGTTGCAAAACCATCCTTCCTTTTCCAACCATTTTGAGAATGAATGGTGATTGGATTAGTAAACTGCTTTAAGCAGAAGCCCTTTTGTACGTGTTTTGTTAAGGAATCTTTCTTCATTTATCTTTTCATTCTCTCTTTAATCACATACATATAAGCAGAGTGGTCCGTGAATTTTGGTGCTGTAGCCTTTCCTGCACTGGCATGTGGTTTAGTTGACAATGGTTGGATGCTGTATTTCGTTTAATTTATTCTATTTTTTTTAACCTCGTGTAGATTATTTGCTACACGCCAATTTCTACCCAACTTTGCTACCATCTTCGCCTAAGGGTGAATGAACTCTAAACTAATCTAGGTTTGTTCATGACATTCTCCCATTTATGTCCTCTATTTGACCAATGATATAACACCTGCTATCATCTCTTAAAATTGGCCTTTGAATTGTGCTGTTATTGTTTTGGTGCTGGAACTTGGAATTAGCTTCAAGAATAAGAAATCCTTTCCACAGATAGCTGCCGTTGCAGTTAAAGATTTCCCGGTGTTTTGTATGGTCGGCTGAGGCTTTATAGGATGGTTCGTCGTGGAAATTGTAATTATAGTTGTGTAGGTTCAATTTTTAGGTTCGAGATTCGAATGAAAACTGCTGAACCGCAATAACCAGTGAAATCTGACCAAGAGTTGAATTGCATCCTAAAATTTTTGAAGGGTTTACTGGGTGGTATATGATGCTGTCTTGAGTCTCTGAAAAACACTCGCCCAGGTGCTGCAGGTTCTCGTGTAAGGAGGTGTCATGTGACAAGCACGGGAATGATGTTATGCATTAAAACCAATTCATACAATCTCAATTTGGTTCCTTTTCTAACTGTTATTTAGTTGCATGCTGCCTATCTTCAGCTGGCGTTTAGCTTTTTTTCTCCAGTTTTCTAAATGGGCATTCGATTTAATGGCGACGGGTGAGAGCGGTTCACACTAAGCTTTGTCTGCCAGGATTAAACTCTTGGTGGGGTCTGGAATGCCTAATCTTTGAGCACGGTACAATGCTGATGCCCGTCGCAGCCGCTGGATTTGAATAATATAGCAAATCCAATGGCTTTGATGGCGTGCTTATGCTTTATTTTGAGAAACATTCCAATCCCTCGAATATTGTCTTCCCTTGGTTGGGAAGCTTTCTTTTCTGTCTCCTGGGTACATCACCCTCCTTAGGAATCAAGTTCCATCTTTGTTCATGGATCGAAGGACAAAATACCATTGGGCAATAAGCCAGTAAAAGCATTGAATAATCACCCTGAATCCAGTCGTCTTTTAGGTTTTCTTTTGGATTCATAACAATCAGCTTCTTAAAAATAAGAGAGAGATCAGCTTGCAGAAGGAAAAACAAATCATGTTTTACAAATGTTAAACCAAAAGTTCAGGAAATATACCATGAACAATAAACACTTGAAACAAAGCCAGCTTAGCTCCACTTTATACAATGAATTACAAAGTATAGATTAGTACTGAATGAGCATGTTTTCCACTGAAATTGGAGGGCGCGACCTTTAGCAAGGAGCTATGCCGCATTCAAAATCAAATTCGCAGGACCCAACATCTTGAGGTATATCCGAGCAGCGTAGTGCCACAGTTATGCCAAAGAGTAACCACCTTGGAGATGGGGGGTTCTTCATTCAAGACACAGAAGCCTCCTCCCGCAAAAGACATTTCTGCGTTTCAAGAAATAATGCAAAAGAATGAGAGCTTCAAGCTCAGTTTCTGAATAGCACAAGCAAGTAAAACAGATAAGATTTAAACAGAAGCAGCTAGATGAGGCAGGCAAAAGACCTTCAACAGAACATTCAGTGCATGTAAAATACCACCTTGAAGGGACCTCATCTTCAGTAGTTATCTCTGAGGGGGTGCCCATCAAATAGCATCATAGATATGAAGACAAGTTAATGACAATTGACCGAGACAGTGAAGTCATTCTAATAACTCCATAGCTGTGTCTTTCTACAATGGGACCTGTATGCATTGTGAGGAGAAACAGCTGGCTATTGCAACAGTGGCAAACTCGATCACAAAAGACATTCAGCTAGCTGTGAGCAGGGCATAAGGTCATGTCTAATATATGTAACATAACAAGATCTGCTCATTCTCCATGCTCTCTCTATGACAAGTGTACACGTGACAAAAAAAAACATGCTACTCACAAAAACAGTTAGCAAGTGTTGCATTGTATTATTTTGGTGAGGAAAGATCGCATATTTACCTGGTGTCAATATCTTATGGCTTATGTTCTCAGAAATCAACTTATGTTTCTAACACAGAGGCATCGAGGCTAAGTCATCTAGATAACTAGTAAGTGGCATGGTCTTTCTATATCAATAAACATATTAGAACCCTTGTAATCCCAAATGAACCAGTAAATATCCATGAGACTCCATTCGCGTTGTCTCTTCCATATTACATCTCAACACTTATTTTCTATTCTGCTCACCTTCCCCCCCCCCCCCCCCTCTCTATATATATATGCCCTTTCATTACCACATCTCAACACTTATTTTCTATTCTCTCTCTCTATATGTGTGTGTGTGTGTGTGTGTCCTTTCAATCTATACATATTTCAGTCCACGTATTCATAACCACTACTCAACATCCTTAGGACATTCAGTTTGAACTTAATCTTCCAATTCTATCTTCTCATGCATATGTAATTTAGATGGTCACTTTTACCAACTCAAGGGACCCAGGCCTAGGATATTCCTTAGCATGCAAAAAAAACGTCTCCACACTCCTTTTCCACTGATTAAAGAAACACTTAGCCGCTACAACTAAGATGCCAACTGCTTAATCTTGTAAATTAAAAAGGAATACTATTTACATTTGTTAGAAATGACTGCAGGTGCCTATAAACTATTAGTCTAAAAATTATAAAATGTTTCCATTTAGTTTAACATGATTACACAAGTGGTGGCGGTAGCTCTGAAAAAAGGGATAGGGAAACATAAAAAAAAAAATCAGAGAAGCCTATGAAAACATTCATGAAGGAAACCCAAACATAAGTGACACCAAGATAATTCGCAAGATCCATATGTCAAGAAGATATGAGACCAGAGAACTTTGCATATCTTTCTAAAAAAAAACTCTTGAAAGTACAAGAAATGATGGTACTGACAACAGGCACCCTCGGCGCGGCTTTTTCTTCCTCTCTTTTTGTTTCTGTGCTGGTTTGATAACTACTTTTATTGCAGCATCAAAAACTGCTTTGACATTCTGCAATAGCATGAAAAAAGTCATTTATAACATGATAATATAAGCGATCCAACGCCTGCAAGGAACAATTAGAAAAGGTCGTCCTAAATGCAGTAGTTGCAGGGCAAGATTCTTGTATGATAATAGTAACATAACTTCAAAACTTAGCCTGCAATATATTACTTTAGGACTGTCACACAGTCAGGATGTATGCCAAATAGCACAGAGCCCATTGATAAAATTTTCATAAGAGGAAAATCAGTGTTGCCAAGCATTTGCAGGGAGAGGGAAACCTGAAATTTACACTCAGATTACTTCAGGAGAATACCACTGCATACAGCTGCAGAGGTAAGACTTTTGGCAGTTCTTTTACCTCATTTTCTCTAGAAGATTTAACTTTCTATGATCAATTCATCTAATAAACATTAGCTGGGTGGTCACTTTCATGGATAGTATACACAGTACTCAATACAATTCAACATATTGCCAAATTATTGCATACCTGCTGGGTTTTTGAACTACATTCGATGTAATATGCTGCACCAATCTGTTTTCGGAGTTCCTCTCCCTATTCATAGAATAACTGATATCATTAAAAAAAGTTGATCACATGAAGACCAAGAAAAAATACAAACAAACATTGAATAGAAACTGCACCTGTGCCATGGTCACAGGTACCAATCCAGGGTGATCAGCCAAATAATGCTTATCCTCACGAAGATCTACATGTCCGTTTTAAACCATTCATTAGATTCACATCTAAGGTGCTTCACAAAGCTAATCACCACAATATAAATGTTAAATGTCAATAAAGCTCATGTAATTGGTCAATAGCTCCCAGCAGAAGGATTCATGAAACACAAGAGCAAAAAATTATCTGTGAAACATCATTGATTATGAAAAGCAGTATGGATGGCTAGGCTCATGCCAATCAGTTTGCACATAATCTAGAACTCTCAAGGACATGAAAGGCAATACAATTTCATTTTACATCAAAGAGAACAGAGTTCTTATTTGGTCAGGGAACTTGGACTGATATGCTTCCTGACAAAAAGCAAGAATTATGCTATTCATAAGTGAAAATAATAAAATAATGAGTGCAATGAAGTATGACATAATCATACAAGTGAGTTGTAAACAGTGGTATGGAATTGTAAGTAACTTTTTTTTAAAAAAAAAAGATAATGTTAATCATATGACAATCATTCACATTAAGCCAGTGAAAAGACAAAAAGAACAATGGAGAGGGAAGGAATCACAAAGAACAAAAAAGAAAAAGCTATGCCCTTGACTTGACAGCAGTAATGTTGTCCCACAAAATTAAGTTCCAGTTAGGTTTATTATACAAAATGTCAAAAGGAGGGAAAAAATTTCTCAATTCTGTACAGAATACAATGATACAGAATTAATCTATAAATCCTTCCTTAACCCTGTAGGAGACTTTAAGTTGGTTACCAATGGATGAAAACCAAACTTGAGACCTCACTCCTCTAGCTTTGCACGAGTACCATTAAACTACGAACCCATTGGTCTATATATAATTCCTTTCCTAAACTCTATCTCCTACTTACTCAAAATCCTGAAAGTTTAAATCTGCAAAATTTGACAACGCTTTCCATTTGAAAGGTGATGTTGACACACACACATAGAAAGTCTGCCCAAATTTGTGACTGTTATAAGATTCATCCATTGAATTTCAAGCTTGAATGATGAAAAAGTTTCAGAAAATATATCAAATAAAACTGAAAAGTATCAGAGGAAACTCATTATTTACTTTTAACATCTTAATGAACCAAAATGCATCAATGGCCTCAATGCCAAGTAGTTTTGACTTGGAATGTGAACAAGTACTTATTTTAGCCTGCTTGTATCTCAAAATTGTCTTCAGTGAGCTCACCAAGTTCTGAATAAGAAGATATACCATCCACCTATTAAGCAATATGCAATAAACAACTGTGATGCAAACTAACCAGTATAACCTAGACATAACAGCATTGACAAGATCAATACCAAGAAAAGAACCATAACCAGCATTGGATTGGATGAAAAAATGATGATGGATGCTAGCAGACTTACCCAATTTGGTACCAACCAGTACTACTGGAACTCCAGGGGCATAATGCTGAAGCTCTGGAATCCACTGGATAAACAATCTCATATTTGAAACTGATATACAACGAGTATAAAAGAAAAACGAAACCAGAAACCAGAAAGTTAAGAAGATAACAATTTGAAAAAAAGGCTGCACCTTTTTAAGTACATTTTCATAGCTAGCCCGACTAACTAGTGAGAAAGCTAAGACAAAGACATCTGCACCTCTGTAGCTCAAGGGCCTTAATCTATTGTAATCCTCTTGCCCTATGGAAGTCAATGAAACAAATGAATCATAAAGTTGCCTAATTTGGCAAAACTGCTTCCAGAAAAAAAGAAGGCACAATTATGGAAAAAAAGATCAAAAAGAAAACATGCACTGAACCAAATAATCATACCAGCTGTGTCCCAGAGGCCTAAGTTTACAGTGGTTCCTTCAACTGCCACATTTGCACTGAAATTATCGAATACTGTAGGTATATAATCCTAAAAAAAAAATCATCAATAACATTTACTGTTCATTTGCATGAATGAATAAAATCAACGGCAAAAGGCAAGAAACTTTCAAATGAGGACAAAATAAATAAAGCCTAAAACGGGACAATAGCACTTATTGAGCAAGAAACTTGATTATTTATGTTTATTTGAATGGAAGAACAGAACCAAGAGCAGAAAGCAAGAAACTTTCAAATGGAGATAAAATATTAAGCCTAAAAAATTAAAATCTGCTAAACACAAGATCACTATCTCAAAACAGAAACTCAAAAAGACAAACTTTGTCCTTGTAGCAAAACCCAGAAGCTAAAGGATTTGAGAGATACTGAGACTAAATTAAATATAGAACTAAAAACAAAAAAAAATAAAAAACAAAGGCAGCAAAACCCAGATGCAAAACACATTAAATCACCAAAAAAAAACCATAAATTATAAAGCACGGCACAGGTGGATGGATCATTTAATTGACCAAAGAACATACAGTAGGGAACTTGTTACTTGTGTAACATATAAGCATACAGGTCTTGCCTACAGCCCCATCTCCGACAGTAACACACTTGATAAACCTTGAAGCGCTTGAAGCCATTGATGCAAACAAACAAAGCTCTTCTCTCCCAGAAAAAGAACAAAAATATTAGCAGTTGAAGTAAAGAGGAGTGAGACTGAAAGTGAATAACAAACAAAAAACAAAAGACCAAAAAAAACAAAACACAAAAGACAAAGGGAGAGAGGAGAAGAGGGTGGTTTGTTGTAGGTGGAAAAATTTATTAGTATTGCTATTATGGCTTATTTTGATTCAAAGTTAAGGAGAGTGGTGGAGGTGGATCACATGATTCTCACTCATTCACTTACCACTGTTGAAATTTTCCCTTCGCTTTTTTTTTTTTAGGGGTTTTTTTTTTTCTTGCTTCTTTATTTTTAAGGGTTTTATTTTTTACTTGCTTCTGTTTTCGTAGTTTGTCCCTTTTGCTTCGACAAATGGCAGATTTGGTTTCTCTCTCTGATATTTAATTTGGATTTTCTCTTCTTTTTTTCTAATTTTTTTGCTAAATTTTTTTTATATTTGAAATAGCATGCTCAAGTAATCTATTTATTATTTCTGTTTCGAAAGTAAGGATTATTACACATGGAATGGGGCAAGTGGTACCTGGGTCTGAATTACAAGTTGATGTAAAAAAATGTAAAATTTTAATGTCTCATATAAAAATATTAAAAAACAATTTATATTGATTTAGGTTATATAATTATTTCATAGAAAAATTAAAAAACACTTTATATAGAAATAGCTTATATATAATTATCCCACATGTAAAAAATTTTAAAAAAAATCATATAGATGTACGTTGACTAGATGTAAATTATATATGGATATTCCATATCAAAAAATTAAGAAATATTTCATGTGGATGTGAGTTATAAAAAGAATATATGGTGCTAAGTATTCATAACTTAATTTTGTAATTTTTAAGTTTATATAAAAAAATATAAAGAAAAAAAGTTGAACCTCATTCATGTTATGTCAAGTCAATTAAATTATGTATTTACGTTATGTATTTACCTGGTAGATTATAGGGAATCAAGTCAATTACAAATTTAAACTTAGTTATGTATTTACGTTATGTATTTAGGAATCAAGTCAATTACAAATTTAAACTTTACTTATTTAAAACTTGATTAAGGTCTTGAATCACCTATGGATTATCTAGATCTTAAATCAATTTATTAAATTAGTTTGAGTTTCATAACTATAACAATAAGATTAGCAAGAGATTTTGTTTATATTACCTTGGCTTGATTCAATTTTTAAACAAAAGAAATGAAAAATTAGCTAGAGTGGGAGCTTGGTTGAAAATGAAATTATCTTTAGGCTTTATCAATAAGTATAGAAAGAAAAAATGAGGAGGGGATAAAAAAAGAAAAACTAAACATTTATCTTTAATTAGATTATTTTGTTGGTTATAAGGAAACAAAGGGAACAATTTAGAAGAGTTTAAAAAAATGTGATGCTTGAGAATTTTTAAAGAAATTATTTTTCTTAGTTATTATTATTTTCTATTTAGTTTAGGAAAATATTTTTTTTGGTGATTTTATTTTTTTATTTAGTTTAGGAAATTAAATATTGGTAGTTTTATTTCTTCTAGTTTATTAAGGACTTTTATTATTTTTCTTTATTTTTAGATGTTCTAGTTTGTTTATGTTGAGTTTTAAACTTATTTAAGGCATAAATCTCTTAAAAAAAGCCAACTATGATATATTTTTTTTCAGCAATAAAACTATGAATTAAGGTTTTTATATTATACCCTACTTCCTTCATTAATTTGTTTTCTCATGTTATTATAAATTGATATCAAAACCCAACAAACTCATGTTATTGTTTGTTGTGTACAACCATTCTAAGTTATTTTTATTTGGTTATGTGTTCTAGAATAACAATAGTAGAAAGAAATGGTTAAAAAATACATGGCCAAATAAAAAGGAATGTTAAATATGTTTCTAATCACTTTCTTAATAGAGATTCACCATCTAGTCATAAAATTCATTCTCACATGAAAACTATAACTAAATTATATATATATATATAATAGATTTTGATGTCACGTGAAGCATGTGACTCACCTTGCATAGGAATTGAAAGAAAATTTTCCTCCAATTTCCTCTTCTAATAAGGAGCACATGAGAAGCAAGTAGATCATTAATAATTTTATTAATTATATTTACTGGAGTACTTCATTTGAAAAAAAAATTATTTGATAGTACAATTAATATGAAAAATAATTTAAAAATATAATTGAGACTATCCAAAAGTTAGGTGGTAAAGTGAGACTTACCCCTAATTTTATTTATACTAGATGAGATTGTAAAATTTGATTAGAAATCAACTAGTGATTTGTTATCATCTCAACTATATTAAATGATCCATTACAAATTTTGCATAAGCCAATTATAAGATCAAAAGCAAAAAATTCAAAGATACATTCAATAAGTTTATTCAAAGCATTTAAATCAAGATAAATTTTAAAAAAAGGTTACATTTTTAATAAGTGATGATAAGACTTTAGTAAAATTAATACATGTACAAGAGAAGCGTGATCCATCTACTTCATGGGCTAATTAATTTCAATAACTACATACTTATTTTTTTTAATGCACAGTTTTAGTCCAACAAACATAATTTTCAATCCAGCTATTAGATTGAGGTTATATTATACCAAAAGCTTTCGATAGTCTTGTTTTATATACGATTAAAATTTCAGATCAATTGGACATCAAGAAAGTCCTGCAATAAGATTTAGGATTTTTTATGCAGGAATAATATTAGTTTTCTAGTTTATTTAAGATTATTTTTTTTATTTTTTTTAATTTTATTTTATTTTTTTAACATTATTTAGGATGTTTTTACCTGTTATAAATAGAGTTATTTAATTTTTAATTAAAGTTTTTTATGATATATTTTTATTTCAAAATAATTTATTTCTCTAAAAAAGGATTTTTTTTTTTCGATTCTTCATTTAACTACTCTAACTTATCAAATAATTAACTAAGTTTGGTGTCATCTTTCATTCTTTTCATTCGCATCTCTTCATGTGTGTTGGATGATGGTTTAGTTTCTATAAATATTTTATAATAAGAAATTAAAAACATAGATAATTTACTCTCATTAAATATTATTGGACAAATTATGTTAATTTGTTTTCCATATTAGGATAGTACATAATTAGTCATAAAGCAATCAATAATATCATAATAAAAAATTCTTAATCTTATTTTAAAAAAATGGCATAGTTGTATAATCACTTAAATATTATTTAAAAAAAATTATTTAAAGAGATTTTTTTTTTTAAATAATAGTAAATATATATTTTCAAAAATAAAAAAAAAATAATAGTAAATATATATTTTCAAAAAGGCCCCTCCCATCTGCCCCCAAATAAAACAGGTCGCTTGGAAGGATGGGCCAACGCTTGTGGAAGGCCATGTTCTTGTGCCTAGCTTTTTTTTTTATTTTATTAAAAGTGGGTGAAACGTCATTCAATCTCCTTCTTCTTTTTAAAAAAGTGGTTGGCAAGTAGAGATCTAAGTTTTTATAACTCAAAAGTCTATTTTCTAACCCTTTTTTTTTTTTTTTAACCTTGGAAACCTCAAGAAATATAGTAAGAACCTCATTAATTTTATTTTTGACTTCAAAACATCCTTTAATGGCCTTGATCTATTGTTTCTGGCAGGATGAAATTCATAAATGCTTTAATGGCACGTCTCTTGACAAGATGTTTCCATGAAGGATCAAATTAAAAACCAAATAAAATAGATGGTTTGTTATTAATGTGTTTCATAATTATTTTAACAAAAAAATACTTTTAATTAGAAACATCAAAAAGATATAATGATTTCAAAAGCAAGTTTTAATAAAAATATTAAAATGATTGAAGGAAAATAATTAGTTAATGTGATAAAATTATGCAAAAAGAAATCTATTAAAAGACAATAGAAAGGAAAATTTACTTTTATAGAATATTGATGAACAAGTTTTTAGTTTTTTTTTTCATATTAGGTATATAATAATTAAAAGAATATTAATATTACTATAAAAATATTACTATAAAAACATATAATATGATTTATAAATATATAAAAATAAATACTGCTTTAAATATAATAGTAATTATTTTAAATATAATGCATTCAAATAAAACCTTAAGGAAAAAAAAACTCAAGGGACAAAGGAAACGACGAGAAAATCTAGGCCTAGGAGGTTGGGCATGTGTGTTTGACCTAAACAAAGAAAGCTAGGTATGCATGGACTGCAATGATAGGCTCACACGCTAAAAAATAAGATATTAGTTTTTTTATTTTAAAAATCTATTTTTAATTATTTTTCACCTAAACATATTAAAGAAATACTAGAAATACTAGAAGCATCCAAATAAACACATTTCGAACTTTATAATATTCTTGGATCTATAAAAAAAAATTAAACAAAACAAAATAAAACATAATTTCTTAATTCTTAATTTATTTTTTCTATCAACATTAATGGTAAAAAAACACATGAATAAACTTTTCTTGTCGAGAAGAATCCATCAACATCAATATAAGCTTTTTAAGTGGCCGGATGTGATCACTTTATCTTTTCTCTTATATTTTTCAGCGATCCTTTCTCATTTCAAATTTCAAGAACTAAAATATAAAATAAATAATGTTGAGAATTGAAATGCGAAACTCTCAAAAAAATAAAAATTAAAAAAATTAAAAATTTTAGAAACTAAACTATAGTTTTTCGTATAAAAAAGAAAACAAGGCTATTTTTTTAAAAATTAAAAATTTTAGGAACTAAACTATAGTTTTTCATATAAAAAAGAAAACAAGGCTATTTTTTTTTGTTGCTGTACAAAAATTTAATCATTATTATTTTAATTTTTAAATTAATAAAATTTAACTCTATTTTACACAGTCAAGCATCAAATTAATTCTTAGTGTATTTTTTATTCAGGCATTTTATAGCAGTCACGCCTGGTGTATTTCTTCAGCATTAGCATTATTCCTTTGAAATAAGATAGGCCAATAATAATATTTTCATAGTTTGGATAATTTGAATTGAAAAGTTAAGATAGACTATAATATGAAATAATATATTTATGATATATTATATTAGACATGATTTGGTCTCGTAGACCTTCAAGAGAAATAAGTGATGATTATTAGTGCTTCATGCATAATCTATTATAACTTGCATCTTATAAAGATAATCAGATTGCAAATTATCTAAATTGAACAATAGGATTGGTACAGGAATAAGTAAAAATTAAGTAGACGGGGGCAAAAAATATTAATAGGATCGATGCATAATGAATAATATTAAT